AGCCTTCTGATGTTCATTTCATAAATGAAAAAGTTCCTAAGATTACAGTAGATTTTCTCTTAGTTCTACATGAAAAATGCTACAATTAATTCTATTTCCAAAATAAAACAGGTACATGGTCAATTGATCTGAGCTTCCTGCCACTTATATTAAAGCATTACTCAAGTCTATAACATAATATTCTGAGCCTGTGTATGCAAGATTTCCTAAAATTATATCCAATCTTACCTCTATCATTTGATAGTGGGCTGTTAATTGGAATTAAGTACTTTTTTTGACACATTCAGAGCTGCTTTAATGACTATTAAAGATGATTTCTTAAGCTTCTCTCTGCTTCCAGAAGAGCGTGCAGTCTTATTTTTCCCCACTCTGAAAACTCCGTAATGCACATCTGAACTTAAGAAAATACTTTCACTACCAACATTACGTATTTTGTTGTTAACAGTACTAAGGATACGTAACATTGTAAGGAGACCCTTATTAAAAAAAAGTCAGGAACGTGGAATCTGTTTTCAACATGATAACAAGAGAACTGAGTGCATTTGCTATTAATAAAATATAAGCCACATATTCGAGGATAATGCTAGACATACCCTTGTAATATGAGGGACATTGTAAAATGTGCTATGATCATTCTAACTAAAGATTCCTTCTAAAAATTGCTAAATTTATTTTTTGTTGATTCCATACTCTATACTCTTCTATTGGTTGTAGAATCATTAAGAAATTGCAGACATCTCTTTGACCATAAAGGATATTTTACCATATTTCTACTATTTATATGAAAATATTTTATAATACGAAAAACATCAGTTGATCTTAACCTAAATGGCGATACTGCAATAAGCAAAATTATGAATTAGTAGTATAACTTTAATCACTCAGCAAAACAGGAGATAAATCTAAAATATGAAATCTACAGGATGAAATCCACTACCATTATATAACATATAGTATTTTTACAAGTTAGTTATTTATGGGAAAACACAGAATAAACAATCCACCTACATACCACTGTGTTTTTGTGCTATGAGAATATGTGGCCTTGAGCACTGAAACGTTTATCTGCTTCTACATCCCCTGATTACATTTATGCTGTACACCAGAAAGAACTTTTTAAATGTTTTGGTTATTAAATCATCAACAGCCATATAATCCAGTTTAGATATAAAAGAGAGAAATTATTAGCATGACCATGATTTTCAACATTAAAGCTCCAGTGTTCTGTATCTCTTTTTTCTTCAACATCTACAAGGCAAAAATGTGAAGTTCCTGACAGGACAGTGCAGTAGAAGGAAGGTGGAGAGAAGGGATGAGTCATTCGCAAGCCTTTTGCAGGCTTGGATAGGCGCTCTAAACTGTGAATGCTGAACAATTTATGAACAGTTTAAGAGAGACCTTCCGTAACTTACCAGCAGATACTGTATCTACAGTATGCTCAGAAGGCTGAGTATAATTAATAAAACCACCTCCTGATAATTTCAGCCTTACTGATTTCTAAGGTCTTACGTAACCTTAAAAATAAAGAGAATATCCTTGTTATTTGTGTAGATGAAAGTAAATAGTTGGGAAATTAAGCCATGATTACACAACAGTAATATTTTTGAAACAATGAAATTATAGAAAAGAAAGTGTAAAGTTCTGCCCTTGCCTGTTTAGTGGGAAGTACCCATCACTGACCAATTATAATGGATGAACATCATGAACACAAAAAAATGATTTCAAAATTCAGAATCAAAAGCAGTTTTGTTATTATTTAAAAAACTCCCACCAATTATAAGACAAAGTTAAATTTGCAGCCCAAAACTGGATACTAATTAGAGACAGATCGCTGGCCAATTCTTAGTATCAATGTAAAGAACAAACACATTAAATGTTCAGTATTTCTGAAATAGGGACACTCATTTTAAATTCCCAAGTAATGACTTGGGAACTTAACTCGACAGTCCAGTTCTGACAGTTTTGAAGAATTTTTGTTTTTGTAACTGTCATTGTAACATTTATCTATGGCACATGAACAAACAGCGTACCTTTTCATTCTCTTCCTCACTTCCTATTAATCTCACATTAATTTCCAATTTAACCTGTACATTTTTTTGCATGTGAAATGGAATATAGAATGGGACCGTAAGGCAGTCCACAGGAAAACCCTGTCGTGTCAAATGTTGGATAAATGATTGCAAATGATATTCTAATATTTAGCTGTGGTAAAATGGAAATTCAGTCATAAAATGTATCATCTCAATTATCTCCATGAAGGTATTGATGATGTCTCAGTTGGAACAGGCACAGGAAATAGCTAGGCAACCTGACATCTTAGCATATGAGAACAGGTTAGAAAACTGCAGTTTTGGTTTATCAAAATGAGATCCAATAGGGGACAGAATTGCTACCTATAAGAACAGAAGGGGATAAACATTGGGGAGCAGAGAAAACTGAACTAACGCACAGTCCTGGCACAAGAGCAAATACGTATAAACTAAGTGCAAATGTGTCTATGGAAGAAGTTGAAGAAAGTGCTCAGGCTTTAAGCAGTGAACAGTCAGAAAAGCCTTTCGTTAGAATAATGAGAGCCAAAAAAAAGAGGAAAAAACACAAACAACAACAAAAAAACTTTAACTACTTTAAAGGCAAAGTTCAGTATGTTTCAACAGGACTATATGATGTGCTATCTATAATACATCCTTTTAAAGCCTACGTCTCCTAATTATAAAAGAAGTAAATTACAATGTCTTAAAAACTGAAATGTGATCCTTTTCAACAGCCAAAGTTCTACTTTCAAAAAGTCTTAGCAAAAAATTCACAACTGACCTGAAATGAAAGAATTCTATCATTAGCTTTTGTTCGCATTATATATAATGCATAAATGTTACTTAATGTCATCCTACTACATTGTGTAGCAAAAAGGAACAAAACCCCCAGAAAATCCACCTAGAAGAACGTAATTACCTCTTAACCTATATTAACATAACCACCTAATTGCACTGTTGATTGTTTCATTTTACATTAACATTTGACTCTATGTATTTACTGAATGTTAATGAACACATTAATCTTTACTTTTCCAAAGTAGTTCTACCTAGAAATAGTATTACACATTAGAACATTTAATGTAGTTTTTTTCTAAAACAATTTCTTGTTGAATACAAGACTACTCACTTGCTTGTAAAAGCATTTTCACACAAATCCTGTTAAATTTGAATCTGGTTCACTAGGCAGCATGATCTCATTAATAAAACAAGTTGCTAATCTACTAAGTCAAAATGCTAAGCTGTTTTAACTGCTTAACTTAATGGAGATTTTCATGATCTCTTCTGTCAGCCTCACAGAAGCTGTACTTTTCACACAACCAACTTCATTTTGCATTTTTAAGGTTTCTGTAATGTATAGTTTACTTTCTCCCATGTTTTTACCTTTAACTTGGAAACACATAATTCAGAGAAATGTGCATAGATCCTCATACATTCCATAAGAAAACAGCAAATGGATAACAGATGAGAAGGAGGCTAGGTCAAAAGGAAAGGTAAAACAGAAGCAGTCTTGTTCTATAATGAAATTTGAACTTCTGTACGACACGACATTATCTCAGGGTCTTTCAGTATGATGTTCAATTGAACATGCACTTTTTCTTAATGATGACAAGAAAATTATATTTCTAATCAGCTAGGACTGTGGAATGTCCTAACACCCAATGGATTTTTAACACCTCTGATTGTCAGCCAGATCTTTGACTTATTCAATGTTCAAAATGATGGTAGTCATTTACAGAAAAATATTTTTCTATTATTTTAACTCTTTCAGGTCAATATATTGCTTCACGGTTAATATTTTTTACACTCACACAGAATGATGTGGTGCCCTTTTTGGTTCTGCAGTTTTACAATCAAGAAATGACAGCGTAAATCTTAAAAGGGTAACTTCAAATATTCAAAACAAAAAGGCATGATTTTTTTCTTCACTGTAGGCTAAGGCTAAAAGGTAGATAAAAAGCCAAGAGCTTTAGCTCACAGGTATATAAAATACTTGGCCGTTTTGAGAATACAGAAATAGATTTTCCAAAATTGTTATTGAATAACTCCTAACATGTACAGCTTTTCCCTCCTTATACCTGTATTTTAGATCAGTTCTTTCCTGCATTCCAAACAAAACTGTATCTATGACATTACATAGACCTAGCTTCTTTTAACCTAAAATCCAGTAATTCAATCCAATAATTCAAATGCATAAATGCTGATTAGTTTAACAGGAACTTTTTCTTATGCACAGGTAGTAATTTACCACATGAATCTTGAGTGTAGTAAAGCCATTTTATTCAACTGAATCTATCAACTTGCAAAACATCATTTTAGAATTAATTTTTGATACCCATTACCATTGCAATCAAACAGAAAGGGAAATGAAATAAACTACTAAGAACTAGAATTATTATTTTCCTTATGATACTTAAAAAGCTTGCAAGATGAAAGGCAGATAAAATAGAAGAGGACACATGAGAACTAAGTGGCTATTATTCTGTCACACACAAATGTCACACATTTGACAAAAAAAGCATCCGCAAGGTTCTTTGATTAAAACATGAAACAGGCAAAATAAGCAAGATACCTGCAGGACCATTTATAGAATCTCCCTTGTAGAGCTCAATAGGTAATCACATTTCTTCCACAAGATTTAGAAATAAAGCCTGATACTTCTATTCCGCTGGTCATAAACATCACATGGAAATTAGTGGGCACTCTAAATAAAGCTGAGCAAACATCCATCTATGGAAGTACTGCAATATACCATCTTAACATGTATTTTATTTCCTTTAAAAATGCATTTGAAAGCAAACTGCTGAAAATTCTTACTTAATAAGAACAATATCTTAACAAAATTGCCACTGGGTAGTCAACACTAGAAATGCACCTCAAATGAACTGCAAAGCTGTATAGAGAGAGAATCCACACCTGCAAACTTCTAGGTATTGCAGACAAGCAGGAAATAGATTAATTAAATCATACCTGGAGAAATTGGTTGGTTTTGGCATGGCCCACGTCTCCAGCCTCTATCTGTGCTCTTGACAGCTTCTGTTCTGTTTCAGTTAGCCAGTCATTGAAGCTCTTCATGTCAGAATGAAAAAGCCGCCACTTTTCCAAAGACTTGTCAAACCGCCTACAAGGATAAAAGGAGATGAAATAACTATTCATACCTTATTTGACTATAGAAAAGAAAAAAGAAAAATATTGAATGTTTCAGTTTACAATAGGTGTGATTGGATGGCATTATCTATTCACATTTCTAACAGTTTCATCAAATGGAAACATGGTAGTACTGCTGAACACTGAAAATATTATTAAGCATATGTGAAACTAATCAGTGTCTGCTCCAGTTTTTAATCCTTTCTTATGTTTTACATGAATTCCATGGCTCAAAACGTGTTTCAAATTAACAGCCTTGCTAAACCACTTTAATTTACCTCATAGGTTTAATATTTAGAGGCCTCAGTGCAACTGGGTATACTTCTCTGCCAATATGCTTAGATCCTAGCTTGAAGAAAGCACCACTATTGATGAAATGCTTCTATCACATTTCAGGCATTTGCTGTAGCTACCAACACTGCAGCCAGCCACTGCAAACGAGCATACTGGTTGTGTGTTGTGAACGTAAATTACTTTCAGTCCCCTTTTCAAAGGGAACACATCTCTTTGGGATACATACCCAGATGTATCAGGATACATCTGACCTAACGTATCAAAAGACAAAGGATGAAAAAACAATAGATATCTTCTTGAAGTGGTTAGTTCCTAGCCCCAGCCCCATAATCCTATTGTAATTAAAGGACTTTTCTTCTATAGAAATATGAATTGTAATATTATATATGATACAGATGCAAAAGACTACATTTTTTTAATGCAAACTGCTATGATGAGAAACTATCCCAAAGAAACCTGCTCCAATTTTACTAAAGAAAATTTGTTTTTTCCTGCCCACTTTTCTCCCTCACAATGGATACAAAGATCTACCAATTGCAATGAAAATGAAACTCCCCTTAACGAAATTTCCACTTATTCTACTATTCTCTTTTATTTTATTCTTTTTTATATCTATGTTTCACTTAAACTTGAACATTTGATGAAGATAGTTATTCAAAAATAGAAACGTCTGAAATACAAAGATGATTGAAACAAAAATAAAATATTTAAAATGGGGTTTCATACAATAAGCAAGGATGAAAAAAATTGCTACCATATCTGCAGTTTACTTCAAACAAGACTGTAAGTATTTCTAGGGCTCTGGGAAGATCTAAACTGTCTTCGCCCAGAGTAACTTACTAATTTGCTCAGTCAAGATCTGTTTGCCTTAGCCACTGTCAAGTATTCATGAAGCCAGAATTTGTTTATTTTGCAGGTGGCCAACATCTTAAGGAATTCAGTTATTCCATGTTTTGGATTGCTGTTGAAATTTGATCACTAATAAGAGATTAACTAGGATGGTTTGTTAGCAGATCATCATTAAACATGCTACTGTTGTTCAGTTTAATAATCCTCCTTTGTGGGCTTATAATAGGTTTTAGGGTGTACTTAAAGGATAACAAGAAAGATGCTCAATTATTTTTCCAGGAAGTAATCTGGCTCTGTATGGACAACCTATATGAATGTTTGAATGTTAAAGAGTTTAATTCACCAAATCGAATCAGTTTACTGATAGGGAATACAGGCCATTTCTTCTCGTATACTAATGATTTTTATTTTTTAGAAGAAAATGTAAGTGTTTTCTTCTCTCTTACTTGTTACACATTCCCAAATCACTTTTCATGTTTTAAAATCTTTTAATGCCATATAGTATGAATAGTAGTATATCCCTTCATAACCATCTGTATAGGGACATATATTTTTCTCTAGACCTCCTTTTCCGGTAGACCAAAAAGATTTATTTTGATGAACACACCACTATAAACATGCTGTTGTCTTACTCTGAAGATACTGCACATAATAATCACATTTGATAAATAATATACAAAATAAAGTTGGACCAGAAAACAGTTAAACTGTGACTTTTGTACTTATTCTGCTATACTAACTATAATCTAGAGAAAATAGAAAGCAAAGAAAAAAAGCACACACACAATTAAATATCTCTGTCAATGATTTTTTTTAAAAAGAAGCTGATCACTGCTCAAGACAGTAGTTGAGATAAAAATGTTCCTTATATTAGATGATGAAGGAGAAAGAATAATAGTAATTATTTTATTACAACTTTTTAAAACACTTTTTAAAAGGACAGAGCAGACTGTTCAGTTTAAATCCTGCACAGAAGAGTAGACCCCTAACCACCTGTGAATCACTTCATTTTGCTCCTCGAGCAGAATTTGATTCATGGGTCCTGAGGTTAATAGTTTACAATAGCTATTGCTTAGTCCTACCCAGTCTAAAGATACTTTCTAAACCATTCTAATAAATGACAATGTGTCCGTTAAACTTTACTGGAAGTGGTCACAGACAAAGTATCAGAATAGATCAGAGTATCTTGGTTTATTTCAATATGGCTGGATGTCCAAAGAAGCCACAATAAAGACTATGCTAGTGCTCAGGCAGGCCAAATAATCATCCATGCCATTAGTAATGGTGGCAAGTAAAGATAGAGAGAGATGCAGCCTGGGACGAAATAATCCTTCGTAATATTCAAAATACATGGTCTTACTAGTTAAAACCAGAAACCTGGGTGGGGTAGTTTATCTAATGACTCCCTTACGCCTTTGTGGGCTTACTGCCTTCCCCCCTGAAGTCAATACAAGTCTCTTTGTTCATTATAATAAAAGCTGAAGTAAGTGTCTGGTATACTGTAAAGCTGTTATTTAAATAGAATTTCCATAGATTTTATTTTGGAACCCACTCTTACCAATTAACCCAGAAATTGCCTGAAAAGATTAAATAAATAATAATAATAAAAAAATTAGTACACAAAACCTGCATGTATTTAAGAAAGAAAAGTACATACAAAGATTCATAGTAACTTCTACACAATAGTAATTGTTGGGATTTGGTTATTGAGGCATGAAAATGAGTACTCCAAAACATAACAATAAGCAGAGATCATGCACTCAAAATATTTTTCTTGAATGCATTAGAGGAGTTTCTTTTGAAAATATAGCTCAAAAAGTGTTAACAGCGTTATAGTTATAAAACACCTTATATACTAATATAAGATCTTGAATCACTACAGTTTTCTTCTATGCCTCACTCCTCTTCCCTTCATATAGCACATCACTCTTCAAACGTCCAGGTATTTGTTACTGGTTTTGCCGTGTCCATGGTGTCCTTTGCATTGTTCCTTCTTTATCAAGTAATGTCAGCTGAAGATTTTGCAATCTTCAAACCATAGGTTTGAATGTGGTCTACTTTTCTTTGCTGTTCTGAAACTTAGCCATAATGACAGAAAAAACAAATCTTATATATGTTCAAATTACTGGGAAGAAATACATTTAGATTCCTATTTGATGTTTAAGACAGCTCTGTTTTGCTACAGAATAATGCAGGATTTGTATGAAATCTGTCAACCATGCTGTATTTCCTAGCAACGTTGTAAGCAACCAGACTATTGATCTACTTCAAAATTGCAGCCACTTGCCTAACTCATGTATTAAAATGATTGTGACAATTTTTTCCTACTATTATGATTTATTTTTCAAAAAGAGACAAACCATAACTGACAGATAAATTTTAATAATTGTTTTAAACTACCTTAATTCAAATTAAATGGAAAATCTTATTTTACATTTTTAAAAATTACCTAGAAAATAATAGCTAAAATCTACTTATTTCTTTTGACCCAGAATGTTTTCTCATTTCAGCCACTACTTTAAAACAGCTTTCCTCCTATTTCTCCAAAAATGAAATTACTCTTCTCAGCATGAGGAAGTTTACCAGAAGCTCAAATGCAAAAATGTAGTAGCAGTTGATATCTGTATCACTGAATTTGCTTTCCAGCACTTGCAAACAGAATCTCCATTCTTCCTCCCCTTGCTTTGGCTAGTAAGAGTTGTAAGGAGAAATGAAAAGTTGCAGCAGGGAGACATGCATAGTTAAAACTTACTACTACTTATTGCTCACATCTTGGAAAAAATTGTTGTTACCCTCAATTATAGTAAGGGATGTAGTTAAACCAATATTAAGTATCAGCAAAAAAGCAGAGTGAACTTACGGACAGGCAAATGCACTAAAAATCAATGCTCCTTGGGTAATTAGAGGTATTCAAATGCTGTTACAGTTTTAAGAAAAAATGCAGCTGTTGCTGTACCCAGGAATCAGTGGCAGATGTAGTTCCATTCTAAATGGGTGACGAAAAGGATCATCGCTGCACACCTTCATGCTCACACCATGTTTTATGGGACCACACACACCCTTTGCGTACCTAAGTGAGAGCTGCCCCTGCTAAATCTCTGTAATTTCTCATTTTACAAGCAGTACTACTTTGAACAGCTTTTTAAAATTTCAAAGAGACAGGTTTTTTCTTCCCTCTTCTTTTTTTTTTTTAACATTTGCAAATTTGTTAACAGGTGGCAATTTCAAAACCCACAAAAGGAGAAAGCTAATTAACTACACACATAGAGCAGCTAAGATGTTGAAGTCCTTGTACAGCAGACTGTGGATGGTAAAAATTTATAAGAGAGTTCATGAAAGAGAAATCCTTTGAAGACTATGAAAACTCAAAGAGACGATCTCTGCCTCAGGAATCCCCAGCCACCCAATTAGGAGGTTAGTAGAGTACCAATACATGCCTTGCAACTCTTATACTCTTGCCTAGGTACCCACTCTTGCTGTCAGAAACAAAATAGTGAGCTAGAAAAACCTTGTACATCCATTCATCTGTTTCCTCATCTACTTAATCCCTTTCCCTTGATGGTCATGTGCTGGGATGATTTGGATACTAGGCAACAGCCTGATATCAGGACAGTTTTTCTTCTTTGCCGTGCTATCCTGTCCTATTTTCTCTAGCCTGTGCTTGATGAGAAGATACAGCGGGGAACCCTGAAGCCAAGCATAAGATTGCATATGGACTACAGGCTAGGCTGTATTATTATACGCAACTGTAAAGTGCTTAAGCATTGTAGATGAGCTCCGATACATGATCCTCTGTTCCTCTAATTGGAATATATGTTAGAATTGACAAGT